TCCCCGTCCAAACTGGATGGGTGACTGGGACGGCTCCGTGGCAGTCGTCGGGTCCACGACGGCTCATTCCCCGCCCTTGTCGCTAAGAGACAAGGGCACTGGATATGTTGCCGTCGAGTGGGGGGGGATCACCATATATGGTGTCTATTTCTCCCCCAACCGGAGTTTGAACGACTTCGAGGTTTTCCTAACCAGCTTGGAGACCTCGATACGGCGACTAGCGTCTGGGCACGTCCTTGTGCTGGGGGACTTCAACGCAAAGTCCATTGCGTGGGGTTCCCCCAGGACGGACGCCAGGGGCGAGGCCGTAGAGGAGTGGGCGGCCTCGGTGGGCCTCTGTCTTCTAAACAGAGGCTCCACCAACACGTGCGTGCGACAGCAGGGGGGGTCGATAGTGGACCTTTCGTTCGCTACCCCTGTCCTCGCCGCACGAGTAAGGAACTGGTGTGTCCTGGAAGAGGTTGAGACGCTCTCGGATCACCTGTATATCCGATTTGAGCTCTCCCGGACCCAGGACTCCAGTAGGGGTCACGTGGCGCGGCGTTTATCCCGCTTTCCGCGGTGGGCTGCTGCCAGGCTGAACCGGGACCTACTAGAGGAGGCAGCCATAATTCACTCGTGGCTGTCTCCTCAGGCTCCGACCGAGGAGGTCGACGTGGGGGCTGGCCGCTTTCGCGATGCGATTACGCATGTATGCGATGCGGCCATGCCCCGCGTTCGAGGTCGTCGGCCTCCAAGGAAGGAGGTCTACTGGTGGTCCCAGGAGCTGGCGGACCTCCGTGCGGCCTGTACACGTGCCCGGAGGTCCTACACGCGCAGTCGGCGGCGTCACCGTGGAGACGGTGAGGAGGACCGGCTTCATGAGGAGTACCGACGGGCGCGGAAAACTCTGAAGCTGGCCATTAGCCGCGCCAAAGAGGAAAAAAGACAGGAGATGCTGGAGGGTCTTAATCGTGACCCCTGGGGTCGCCCTTACCGCGCGGTGCGACAAAAGCTCCGCGCGTCGGGCCCCCCCCTTACGGAGACTCTCCAGCCCAGCTTCCTGCGAGAAGTGGTTGAGGGCCTTTTCCCACAACGGGCGGAACACACTCCCCCGTCGATGGCCTCCCTGGCCGGAGACGACGGGGAGCACGGGGAGGACAATGTTCCGCCCGTCCGGGAATCGGAGGTAGGGGCGGCTGTTCTACGGATCCGTTCCAAGAACACCGCCCCTGGGCCAGACGGGGTACCGGCCCGAGTGCTGGCCCTGGCCCTCAACCACATGGCAGACCGCCTCGGGGAGGTGTTCGACGCTAGCTTGGCGTCGGGACGCTTCCCTGAGTGCTGGAAGAGCGGGAAGCTGGTCCTACTGACGAAGCCGGGACGGCCTGCCGATTCGGTCGCGGCCTATAGGCCCATCGTGCTGCTGGACGAGGCGGGCAAATTGTTTGAGAGGGTTCTTTCTGCCCGCATCGTCCGGCACCTCTGCGAGGTGGGCCCCGATCTGTCGGACGCCCAATTTGGTTTTCGGGCGGGGCGTTCGACAGTCGACGCCGTGTTGCGCCTGAGGGCCGTGACCGAAGAGGCCGTGAGCTGTGGCGGCGTGCTGTTGGCGGTGTCATTGGACATCGCCAACGCATTCAATAGTCTGCCATTCAGCTGCATCAGGGAAGCACTCCACTATCATGGGGTGCCAAAGTACCTGAGGCGGCTGGTGGCAGACTATTTAGAGGAGCGTACCGTCGTGTACGAGGACCGAGAAGGTAATTTGAGGAGTCGGCCCATGTCGTGCGGTGTTCCACAGGGGTCTGTTCTTGGACCCCTCTTGTGGAACATAGGGTACGACTGGGCCCTTCGCGCCGATTTCCCCCCCGGGCTGGGTGTAATCTGTTACGCAGACGATACCCTCGTGACAGCCCGGGGGGCAAACTTCCAAGAGGCGGCGCGCCTGGCCACAGGGGGAGTCTCCCTGGTGGTCGGGCGCATTGAGGCGCTGGGCTTACGGGTGGCCCTAGATAAGACGGAGGCCCTGTTATTCCATGGGCCCCGTCGTGGTCCACCCCCTGGCGCCTCAATAGTGGTCAACTCGGTCCTCGTACCGGTTCGGGCCCAGATGAAATATCTGGGCCTGATCCTCGACGGGAGGTGGCTCTTCGACGAACACTTCCGACAGCTTGCTCCAAAGCTGGTCGGCGCTGCGTCTGCCCTAGGGCGACTTTTGCCCAATATGGGTGGACCCAGCGTCGCGACAAGACGGCTGTACACGGGGGTTGTCCGGTCAATGGCACTGTACGGTGCACCGGTGTGGGCGGCGGCTCTGACCGCCCAGAATAGGGTACGCCTCTGGCGCCCTCAGAGGGTAATGGCGGTCAGAGCCATACGCGGTTACCGCACCGTTTCGACGGAGGTGGCATGCGCATTGGCCGGAACTCCCCCGTGGGATTTGGAGGCGGAAGTGCTCGCCGAAGTTTATCGGCGAGTGGCTGACTACCGGGCGGAGAGCGGATTTCGCCCTCCGCCCGAGGATGTGCGCGAGTGGCGCGAAGCCGCTCGCCGAGCCACGATGGCTCGTTGGTCGTTCCGGCTGGAGACTCCACGCGCTGGCTTCGCCGCCGTGGAGGCTCTCCAGCCGGTCATCGCCGAGTGGGCAGGGCGGCAGCACGGGACCCTTTCCTTCCGACTGACGCAGGTGCTTTCCGGGCACGGTTGCTTCGGAAAGTACCTGCACACGGTCGCTAGGAGGGAACTGAGTCCCGCCTGCCACCACTGCGACTGCAGTGAGGACTCGGCCCAGCACACGCTGGCGGTCTGCCCCGCATGGGCGGCGCAGCGCCGGTCCCTCACTGCAGTCATCGGAGTGGATCTCTCGCTACCGGCCGTAGTACGCTCCATGGCCGGTAGCGACAGTTGTTTTACCGCGGTCGCAACCTTCTGCGAGGTAGTAATCTCGCGGAAGGAGGCGGCGGAGAGGGCCCGGGAGGACGACCTCCACTCGGACCCGATCCGCCGCCGGCGAACCGGGCGGCGGAGGCCCGCCTACCACAGCCTCATGCCGCCCTGAGTGTGGCCGCGGGTGGACGGGGTGGGTTTCCCCTCCACCCGCATTAGTTTGGCCAGCCGCGAGGGGGCGGCGTCCGCGTGTGCCGGACGTCGCCTAAAGAGAGGAACACCATTGAGACGGAGCCCGCACCAGGAGCGGGCTGGCGCTAGGAGGGGTCCGGATGTCTTAACAACAGCTGTTCCCGGATCCCTCCTGTTACAGGCGCAGAGTGGCACACCGTGTGGTTTTAGTCGGTCCGAGTCCGACACACCACCCCGCCGCAAACCCCGGAGGGGTGACGGTCCGAGGGGATTTCCACACGTAAAAAAAAAAAAAAAAAAAAAAAGGGTTTGTGTCAAGTTTTCCTTCTCTCTGCAGTGTTGTTGTTCTGCGTCGTTTTTTCCCTTAGTTGACTCTTACAACACCCACGGGATGAATAGGGGTGGTGACAATCTGTATTCTTAATCCGTCACCACATTTCTAAGGATATTTGTGTCAAACCTAAAAGCTTTAAGTTTTCTACTTTCCTTCAAGCTCTTAAGAAAACTTGACGACGTCTATGCAATCAATGTATATATTGTAGATACAATTGATCCGTCAAAACTCAATATTGCTTTCATGATTTCTCATTGGTTATGCAGTTGTCTCTCAACCTATCAGTAAAGCCTGTTAACAATTGCACACCGTAAACATATTATTATACTCTACAAAAAACCATGACAAAGACCAAGTTTACATTGGTCGTGTAGTTATATTATACTTATATGATATGACGTAAATTATTTCATCTCTACAGCGCAATTAGAATTGTCCTAGTGACCGATCTCACTTTCTACTAATTGTATAAAAGATTTTACTTTCCGCTAGATTACCATATATTTGCTCAACGTTTAAAATGAAATAAAACTTAATCATTCTAAATACAAATACCGTTTAAAACTAAACAAACTTCCTTTACAAACCTTAACATAACTAACTCGCGATTCGAAAATAATTTCCGCGGCCGAGTTATGCTCAGAATTCACCATAAATCATTTTAACGGCTTTGTTTATCTTATAATAAAAAACGTGTAGATTTATTTCCCTAATTACCACTGATATGCGCTTCGTTACTTTCCGTAATTCCTTAAAGTCGTTTTAGGTGCTGCTTCTACTTAGTATTGTCAACAATAATGATGAACTCTAACTATAAGCAGTGCAGACCGAATTCTTACCATAAGTAAGTTAGCAATAGATCTGGTGAGATTTTCACTTGCAATGTTAAAATAATTTCGAATAAAATTTTGGCTGACTTCTTTCTATATCCGCATAAAGAGATAACGTAGTTGTTGTCAAATTATAATATTTGTAACTGCATTTATTTAATGAAAAAAAGCTACCTCAATTGCCTCTACCTTTAACTCCTTAAAGATATATTGGGCATGATACATTTATTCTTAAAACAGGCCATCGTCTCGAGTGGTTATAAAATAAGTACGGCTACATTATTCTAAAAAGAAATAAAAGTATTCCCTGAAGTGGTTTCGCGACAGCATGCTAAGAAAGGCGCAGAGTGTTCAAAAGCTCATTCTATTTGTATCCAATCATTATGCGCCAACACGCGCCTTTAACTGTGTAACAGTACCCGACTCGTTTCCGTTTGCCCACCCCTCCCTTTCTTCTTTATTACCAAGTCATTTGTACAAGATATTCATCAACATATTTGTCTATATTTATAAACTGTATCTATAGCACAGCATAAGTTTTATAGTTTAAACGTTTCTCTTGCCACGGCAGCTAACAATGACTTTGAAGATGGATTTCATCGTACAAACGTAAAAACTTAACTACACATATTTATTATTGTTATTGTCGAATACCAGTGAGATACACATATGACATGAGTTTCATACTCGTATGTTGTTTACAGATGATCAAAATGTGTTTATGAGAGTGTCGCGTGCTTTCGCGGTCAACGACGGAGAGGTGACAAGACGGCGAGATGGGGCGCATGCGGTACATCGTTTGCGCGTTGCTCTTGCTGTGCCCACTCGCACTCACCAGGCACGATGACGACTTCGCCTTCGACAATAGCGAGGAATTTCAGGTCAGTGCACTTCCTACCCATTACGCACAGGATTTCCATGCTCATTTTGGAATATTAATATTGTATTACGTCATGTAACCAACCATTCTTCCTATATTATTTGAGCTCTCGGAAATGTAATAATCCGTGCTTATCCTTTCAGGTTGAATTAACGGCAAACCATTCAGAAATAGCAAAAAATGGCCTAAGAAGGTTATGGGGTGTTCCCGACACCTCGGCCTATGTAGGACACCTGTTTCGTATGGAAATCCCAAAGGAAGCTTTTTCCGGAAAAGTAATAGCTTATAAGGTAAGAAATAGCTCTTAAGATTAAATAATCTTATTTATATATAAATTGATAATTACAAACCAGCTTATGGGAGATTTTATAGTCGCTGCAATAACATATTGCGTCTGGGTCTGGGACCGGCTAAAAATAGATCACCCCATCACTTCCCGTGAATTCAAATGTCATAATAAGTGATTAAGAGACCGTGCCATTGGACGTGCTCGTAGTATCAATCTTCATGCCAACGAATATTGTAGTAGAAAAATAACACCATTACCGTGTAGTTTTATTATCGTACGTACCAGCATAATCATTATGTAAGACTTATTAATCGGTACATCACGCGACAATGTAACATTGATGTTAATTTACCATCGGAATGTGATAGTTCGATTTCAGATAAAGTTACGAATAACGTACAACATCGGAAACTAAAAGTGATCGAATTTCTCCATAAAGCAATGCATGTTGTGTGGTGTGTTCAGCGAAATATTAGAAGTTAGGAGCTTACGTCAGTTCGCTCCTAAAATATAATATGAACGAGTTACTGAAGGTAGTTGATTCAATAAAAGAATGTCATCTGTAGTTGTTATATCTATCGAAACTAGTTTAAGTTTCAATACGCAATACTCAGTATTTATTGTTATTCCTCAATGTGTTCTTCAAAATATATTCGACTTTGCTGGGCATAGTACTGGTAAATTAGGAAAGAGGAAGAGGCTTATTGTTTTAGTGGTCAAATTACATTGTGTGGTTGTACTAAGGTTATTAAAATATTTTATTCTACATATTTACTTCTATTATTCTTTCACTTTTCCTAAAATACTTAACATTTGAGTATTTTTTTGTTTTTCCTTAATTGTGTTATTTATTTATTGTATATATTTATTTGAATTATTTATATTTGGCAATATTGAAACTGATGATATAACATAAGAGTTTTGGTTATCTTATGTTTTTATAGTATATTATTTCAATTTTTAATTCTTTAGAGATTTCTTATTATAAGTAAAATAGGTTTTGTTAGTGTTTCTGGTAGTTTATTACTTACTGTTTTTATGAATAAGGCGCTTGTAGAGTGCATATTTGAACGGGAAGGTGGTAGGAATAATATTATTCCTGTGTAAGGGTGAAATCAGAGTGAATGTAATATCTTTGTTTATAAAAATGCATATTATAAACTTGTAAAACGTGTATTTTTTTTTATTAATAAAAAGGCAAGCGATAAAAGTTTTTATAAAATACTTACATAAATAATACATAACTCGCTCCCGGTTTACATCTGCCAAAAATAACTACTTTCTCTTTTTCTACACCCTAATTTTTTACATTAATAAAGACGAACATGAAATATAACTCCATACTAATAGTCTAAACTGACACAATTTATGCTGAGAATGTATAAAAATATCAACCTACTAAACAAATTATGCCAGTCTCGCAGACAATCTTGTGAAATGCCTGTAACCATAAACTCACCTAAACATCAAGCGTCGGTGACGATGTAAAGACGACCTGGCTCGACCGTTAAGTGCGATCATGATCTTGGCTTAAAAATATGTCATTATAAACCGTTAATTTTATCTCTTCGCTTGTAATTATTTGTACCTTGAGTACCGAATTTTCATGAAAACTGCCAAGATTTAAAATTACTATATACACATAAGACATAAGATTTAAATGACTATCTTAACTGTGGTGGGTTGCCTAAAAATGATGGCCAAACGATACGTGTACGATACAATATGATGATACCTAAAAAATTTTTTTTTGGGTTTCATAAAAAAAAGAAATTACAGTGCCAAAGCACCGTTATATCTACCAAAGGCCTAGAATCAGAATGGGAACAACTGCCTGTAAATGTAAACTAAGTACATTACGTAATACTTGTTGGGTTTCGAAGTGTTATGTATTGTCTGGGTCTAATTATGTAATTTTACACGAATGAGCAGAAATTTATACCGTATCCAACGTTTTTAAATAAAGTTCTTATATTTGAATACGGATTTTTGGGCGTAATCTCTAGAGCTGGTTTCTATTTCAGCTGTGTGTTCGATCTTTCACTGGTTGGCAGTTTGTGCTCCCGTCTTCCTTTCTACTGTTAAATAAAGAACAATCACTACCTTGTTTTGCCACCTTAAGTAATAAATTAAGATTAATATAATAAATAAAATCTATGCAGATAGTGGCTGTTTACCATATTCTCCAAATTATATCTTAAAAATATAATACAAAGTATATTTAATTTTTTTATACGCACAGGTTCGTAGTGACGGCGGTCGACATACCCCAAACTGGCTGGCCGTAGACTCGAAACACGGTCTAATTAGCGGCGTGCCACAGAAGCAAGACATCGGACCTCACACTTTTACTGTCACTGCACATGGCAACACCCACGGCCTCACTGCTACAGACTCTTTCACAATAGAGGTAAGAATATTCTTTACACGTCAAAAAACACACGTAAGTTAGTGTCCCTGTCTGCAGTCCTTCCGCACAAAGAGGTCGGTTCGACCGGACTGATATGGCCTTAAAGAAAACCGATGTTTTTTTTGTTGAAACGGAACGAAATAATTACATCTTTCGTTCCGTTTCACCGAGTGAATAAGGTTACCGGAGTGCCAACCCTCGACTTGATTCCGAGGGACGGCGTAGGACATGGCGCAGGCCGATACCGTACTTGTGACTTCCAATTAATCTTACGACCATAATACAATATCATACAGATACGAAGCAAGGTACACTAGATCTTACACGTGGTCCGTGTGGTGATGGATCTAGAATACAGAGTGTCACCCCTATGTATTCCGTGGGTGTCGTAAGAGCCGACTAAGGGAGCAAACTGCGCAGGACAACAGCACTGCAAAGAGAAGGAAAACCCTATACCAACCCGTCTGACCAGCGTGGTATAGTAAGCCAAAACCCTCTCTCTAAGGACATCCTCTCCAGCAGTGGACTATTAAAGGCTGTTGATGACACTAGACCTTAAATTGAAACATAACTCCTTGACATTATCGCGTCTGAACAAGGGACCATGTTGTATCGTAACATATTATAACGCTATACTCGTATAGCTCGACCGAAGAGTAAAGTGATTAAAGCAAAACTTTAATATACGAAATACAAATGTTTCAAATAACTGTATCTTCACTAGAGACAGGCATACGGACAACGAATTAATTCTAGGTGGGTTGCCAAAAAATGATGGCTAAAAACCGGCAAAGATACGTGTGCGATCATAGACAAGAGTAAAGCTAAGGGCGTAAGCGCGATGACACCAATTTCCCACGATCTTAATTACATTAAAATGTGTGTCTAAATAAACAATATACCTAGAAAAATATTTTTTGGCTTTTATAAAAAAAAAAAAGTAAGTGTCAAAGCACCGTTATATCGCCAAAGGCCTAGAATGGAAATAACTGCCTGAAAATGTAAACTCATACGTTATGTAATGTTTGTAGTGGTTTCAAAGGATCGTATGTATTGTCTGGGCTCAATTATGTAATTTTATACGAATGGATCAAAATTTATACCATATTCGGATATGGTATAAATTTTGATCCAACGTATAAAATTACTTTTGTAAATTAGATTTGTTCTATTATATCTAGCAACCACAAGAGCCGGTAAAATGCAGCTCACTTTACACAGTAATTACTGAAAACGTAAAAGTAAATAGGTACCTAAATAAAAAATTATTTATTCGTTGACGAGCATTACTCATAAAGATTATACAGTATCTTTATTAATATTTTAGTTTGTAAAAATAGATTTATATTATAAAGTGCAACATATTGTCTGTTTGTTTGAACAAACTAATCTCAATGACTACCACACCCAACTGTCAAATTTTATAACATCACGGTGAAACATAAATGAACGGAAGAGTTGTAAATACAATTTACATTTAAAACCTCAACTATATGAAATACATATGTGTAATACAACGATATTATAATATATGTATAAAATCACAAGACTGCTCGTTCATCTCTAAGAACTAATCACAAAATCTAAAAAACGATATAACTGGTTGTATGAAAGTGAGTAGTTTTCTACCAAAGACCTGAAATTCGTCAAGTAGGTAGTTTGTATGTAGGATCAGGTTGTAACACCTTTTTTGACAGGTTTAGGTTGAGGAAGCAGAAGGTCAATTCTCCTCTGTTAACCGCGACTTCGTTATCGATATCTCTTAGACCTAAAAGTCAATTTGCGTAATAAAAATGCGTTCAAAATTCAGTTCCGATCTACTCTCGATTTCACAAATTTCATTAAAGATATTCTCGTAGTGAGTATTACTAAGACTATTTTTATTACGACAATTTACCTTTAGGTCTCAGAGATATAGCGAACAAAGTCGCGGTTAACCTAAATTGTTTAATGTTTTCGTAACGGATAGAAAATACATATTTGTTATTACAGTTCTGTAAGCGTTCGCATGAAGTTTGCTAAATATAAATTTCCTAGCCGTGCCCACTTAATTTACCAGCACTTATGGTAATTGTTTTGCTCCCATGAGTAAATGAATAATGTGCTGTATCTGACAACCTTCTTTAAAATCCATGTTATATAATGGAAATACAATTTTACAAAACGAGCTATTAGGGAGAGAGACCAAGATAACGCAATTAAAACACAAACCGTTAGCCTATGTTATTGGTACAGATATACATATATCAAATCAATAACTTTATATTGTAAAAAAAATGTACGAGTAGTGTTTTGGGCGGCACCCAATAAAGTTGGTGACAGTTGTTCATGCCGTCATTCAATTATATTATTGGCGTTGTATTAAACAGCATGTGGCGATCGTAAGGGTGTGGCGTAATAAATGAAATCCGGCTGCACAATACTTTCAATGTACTTACTTTTACTTTATTGTTGAAATAAAATAAAATTAAAATAAAAGCGGAGGTAGTCCAGTTGTGAAGGCGTTGGACTTGCGATCAAGAAAACAAATCCTGACCAGTACACTACCGACGTGAACCCACTCCTAACACAAGCAATTTAGCTTAGTGGGAGGGGTTAACGGGAATACTACTAATTTCGGTTGCTAGTAGAACTTTAAAAAAAATAAGAAAAGAAAATAGTCTCGAATACGTATACATAGGAAACGTATTTTCAATATCAGAAAGTGGCTAGCTAAACCAATATGGTGCCCGTCTGATCCATTTTATTCTAGGTAATCTCCGTCGCCATCTCATAGAATATTAAAACAAGAATATTTAATGCAGTCATGTAAATAATCGATCAATACGCGACCTCTACAACGGAGCTTAGTGTCACATTAATGTGGAACATATGAAAATGACAGAGATTAAAACATCAATCACGATTATCAATAACATTGTTGAGATGCCAATAAAGTTTAAAGCGTTTTCGTTATCGCTATTAAATATGAATCTGCATCGCCCAAAGATTGCCCAAAAGAAAATGGCTAAGGCATTTAGTCCGCCTTACGCAATACGTTGCAGTAAATAAATAAATAAGTAATTAAAAGTTTATAATGAGAAGATATATAGGGTATTGTATAGTACATACCACATTTCTTTAGTATTTAAGACAGCAAGCTCTTTGCACATTATCATTCATAGGCTATAGAGTTAAGTCACCCCAATTGGCTATAACTCTTACCTTCCTACCAATGGAAACAATAAAAAAAATGAACAAAATTAATTACTAGTCGTTTCTTAGATTTTGCAACATTTTGAAGATATTTGGTCTTAAAATGTTGCAAAATTATACTATTTCTGTTTAATCTGTCTGACTACAGTTTTATATTGTTACTTGTTACTTTTGCGGCAGATAGGTCATTCAAGATATACTTCAAATTAATATTCAATTACTAATACCTCGTCTGCATATTGATTGCAAATTATAATTGCGTGATAATAATAATATAAATTTACACACGACCGTCTGTACCCAAATTAGGCATTATCTCGGATTACTGTAATCGGACTGTTGTAGCTCATCAAACAATTATTTGTCCTAGATGTGAAAAGAACCTACGATCTCTTGCTTAACAGTCAGAACCACTAGTCAGCCAATAATGTAAATTATTTTTGTTCTCAGGTGAAAAAAGCTCATGAAAAGCCACAGTCTAAGTATGGTTCGTGCATGGGTGACGAGAGCAGACTGGTATTGGCGATCCTAATAGACGGCTCCTTCCACAAGATATCTTCGAGACAACGAATACGCGCCCTCATGCAACTTGCCAGCTTCATGGCGTTAGATGGAGTAAGTAAAATCCTTCAATCTTTTAATAACGATTCACTCGAGCTTAAAATTGGGGTGACTTGGAATTATATTTTGTTAGAAAATATTAATCACATTCAAACTATTTGTTTGAAAGCAGACATGTCTACTGTAAACATAATTTTATCATTAATCTTATGTAAAGACAAAATGAAGGCACTACTTCGTGTTGTGGCGCCCTCTACATAAAACAATCTTTTTTATAAAATAGATTTCAAAAATATTTTATGTTTCTTTAACGATAGTCTAAACTTAATAACTACTAAATCATTTACAGGGAGAGTTTTGGATGGAGCCTTATAAAGCAGAGGCTCGCGCCGAAACCATTCTCAGCGGAACTGGCTCCTCACAACGGAGGCATGGCGATGCTACTACTGCTATCTATTTAAACGTAAGAAAGTAAAAAAAAAAGAAAGCGTTCTTACTAAATGAATTTAAAGCAAAAGCAATTGAATTAACAAACTAGAAGTGTGGGTAATTAAAGAGAGTTGTTACGGAATTAACCAGTAATTCTCAATTTATTTATTTATTTCCGTGTATAACTTATACTTACGTAAATAATAAACTTGTCTTAACTCCTCAGACAAGCAATACATATATTACCATAAAATCAGTATTAATTTAGTAATTAAATATGAATGCCTTTTATAAATATCTTCAATGAGTTCTCTGTTTTCGTCTATCTAGGTCGGGTTTATATTATACGCTTTGATCGAAAGACCTCTTCGATAAATGTCGTTTTATACATGCTTGTTCATGACAGATTTTATAGATGTTCATTGATTTAAATGTTACTTTAATACATAAATGTCATAGTATCACATAGCTATAAATATAAACTCTGTAATAGAAATCTGAGTTATCTGATAAGATAGATGAATGAGATTCTTTATGTACGTAACTACTCTGTCTGACTTGATTACACGGGTGGCGTAGTGGTTTAAGTTTTAGTTTAAGTCACATCGCCGCTCCCTATTGCGCTAAGTGTTGTGGATTCGATCCCAACACTTTGTCACAAATTGTTCTTCAGAGTCTGGTCTTCTTTGTGTCCGTTTTATGAATGTTTGTAATGTTACCGCGAAAGAGGATAGTATGCCTAGCGCGGGAGATGTCTTTTTATAGAGCAAAACAATAGACCAGGAAAACGAGTCGACTACATAGGTGTATTAATAAAAAAAAATGCCTGATATTTTTCAACGTATTTGGGTTCCTCTCGGTAATATCGGTCCTCATGATAATATAACTAAAATGCAACTGCTGAGACCTTGCCATTATTTTGTAATTTTCTGTTAAAGTACTTTTTACAAATAGGTGTTTGCAAAAACTATGCAACGGACTACGCCTTAAAAAATACCACATATACTTCACATCAGAACGTATGATTAATAAGTTTGGTAAGCCTAAATGTACAATTGTTTATTTAAAAAGCAACTATTTTTTGAACAACAACAATTGGTATTTGTAGATATTTTTAATATCTATAATTTTCTCATAATACATGTCTTCGTAAAAAATCGAGGAAAATTTATAAGGGCGAAAAACTACGTTGTTGCAACTTCAACAGCAAATTACGAAATAATAGCACGGTCTTAGCTGTTACATTTTATTTATATTATCATTATGTACCGAGAGCAACCAAAATAGGTCGAAATATCTCGGTTGGCATTTTTTCAAATGAGAAAATGTTCCTTTTCCATGTCTATAATAAAACAAAACAAACTCTTAAATTAGCATCATGTGCAAGGAAAGGTCAGTTTTGTAGAAATAATTGAAATTCTAGTTTCTTAACTTTTATTCATGTAATTATAAAAAGTTTTTTACCAAATATTTTAGTTAACAAATAGTCTAGACGAAATGTTTTTTTTATTATTTCTGTCAAAAATACGTTAGTACACAGTTCTTTTGTTAATAAGTAACTTTTCCAGGTGGGATGTGGCAACAAGTTATGGAATCATCACCAAGTGCTAGTGGCTGGACTGAGGGAACAATCTCGCGACGGTACTGTCGCTCACATTATACGCTTGCCTGTTATCGGCTGGCGACTTCTTGCTGTTCAACCGGCACCTAGGATTAAAAGACAGGTAAAAAAATAGTATATAAGATGTTTACTAAAGTTTTTTACGACTATCCCTTACTAACAAAAAAAATACTACCTATTTGTTTTGTTATTTTATCATTAAGGTGAAAAAAAATATGGAAATCATAAAAAGTCGTAAAATTTAAATTTGTAATTATTAATTGCAAAATTAAACATTACTAAAATTATTTTAACATCTTACATAAGACCCGTAATTGTTCTCAGTTCTCAAATAGGCAGCCATTTTATAAACTGATTTCAATATTTTTTAAACCAATCTAGGTCTCATTTTAATTTGCTGAGAATTAAGAAATGAAGAATGCAGCTTATCACAATTTATCAAAATTTTGACGTATAGATGTTGGTGTTACTTTTATATAAGTTAGTAATAAGATTAAACTATGTTTTAATTAATTACTTACTTAATACATACTTTTAAAGACAATCGGTAAAAGTGATACTTCCCCTGACACTTCTCCATTCCTCATATATTTAACTCTCTTAGTCACCTCCGCTGGATGGTTCTGGCGACGGCTTCGACACTGAGTACGACGAGGAGGAGGACGCGGATGCTGAATATAGCGGTTACGACGATATCGACGATGAAGACCCGATGGATTATACGAACAGTGACAGCATTACTAACCCGGTGAGTACTAATATCATAGTTACCGGAGACTCATTTAAGAAAATACTTATTTCAACAGCGTTGAATTGACTTTTTAAAGTTCAAATTGACGTGTAATGATTTGAAAATGGAACAAAGTTCGTTATTAATAAAAACTAAAACATAAGCATATGTAATTGTCTATGAGTGTTAAGTAAAAATAAACAAAAACAAACATATGATAAAAATCACTAACTTTTATAGTTTTATTTTAAAAAATGGTAATTCAAACTGAAATATAAAGATATATAACACCAATGCTTTAAAACCTTGCTTTAACGTGCTAAAAGGGTAACCTATGGCTAAATTAGTGGGTATAACATCATAAATAAATCACTGAATCATAATTGGTATCAACGCATTCATTTACTTTTAGTAACTGTCATACATTCTGTGTTTCTTAGTACATGTGTATCATTCGATTTATTCATTGGAAAATATATGTAAAATAGTTGCTCGTTATAACTGTAGAACCACTCGGTGAAGTGTACGCGGTATTAAATTAACTAAACATCAAAAATATTCTTCGACGCTCACTTAGCCACTATGGCAGTATGTATGTGTAGGTATATTACTTAATTGTGTTATGTACATACTTTAAAACCGACATATTATGTAGTCATCAGTTTTGTCTCCCAAGGTTACATTTAAATACAATACTGCATTAAAACTGTTAATCACAACTTTTTAGCCACGAAATTTAAGGTCGTGGGACTAAGATTGGAATTGCAGAATAAATGGCGCCTAATTATTTGCTGATGTCATTTTAGGAACAATATTGCAAACATATGTGCATCTTATCGTATTAATGTTGTCGGTCAACACACGTGTACCTAGCTTCTGAATATACATATATATTATTTGCTTCGACAAAAAAACCGATAACATTATCAGTTAAATAACGTAATTGTCGTAAATGAACCATCGCGAAACGTGTGGAAGTTGTAAAACATCGATTTTTTTTTGTAAAAATAATGAGTATAAAATGATATCTTAAATACAGCACAATTAAAAATATAATGTTCAGATTTAAAAAAATGATTATTTATTTAATATACATTTCTATTAATTTAATACAAATATTAAATAGGAATGAGTAGCATAGTCGCCTGCGTGTGGCGATGCGCTTTCCATATTACATTTACTATCACGTAGCGTTGCGACGCATGCCGTGGCGACGTGTGTTTGAACAGCCCGTTTGAACGTCCATTAGATGCTTTAGCTCAAAGATATTTTGACTCACGTGAGTAATTCAGTGAAGCTTCACTAGTTTCGAACCCGACAAACGACAATTTTTTCATGAGGTTCATTATTCCACCGAGAGGAGTCAGCCACGTTACCAGTACAGCGGTTGCATTGGTGATGCTACTTGTAGCCGAACATATTTTAATATTTAAGATATGTTTTTGTTTTACATTGACACTAGAATACTACCATATTTACATGATCAAATCATTATTTTCCAATGAATAACAAGTCGTTAGTCGTTCCATACTTAATCTTACCACGGAATGCACACCTAGCACTTATGTCATTACACATCATAGAAGCATTCGTACTGAGAGTCACATGGCATGGATTGTTGTATGAGTTGTATCTAAGTTCACTTCTATTTCAACTGTCATCTATCGCATTTTCGTATTACTTCTTATTACGTACCCATTTTATTTTATATTCTACCATAAACCCTTCATAAAACCATAAACCTTTCAACATAAAACATTATCCATTACTTATGTACGTTTTGTAGGTACATAAGTTTATAATGAAATAAGTAGGTACTACATAAAATAGTCATGTAACGTTTGAGCTTTGTGTGTGGTTATAACTAAACGCTTAATGACAAAAACTATTACACTGTACATACAAAACTAACGTAAGCACATTAATCAACGCAAGAGCGTCACTTTAAGTATAGGCTTTGATATTATGATTGCTAGTCTGTTTCCCATGAGAAGGAACCTCCTTGAAGTTCATCTGTCGTTGTATATTTTCATTTACAAATTAGCTAATCGTCGACATCCACAAGCGATTTATATATTATTTATATATTATTATTCTATTTATTAAAGATGTGCGGTTTTACTCGCGTGTGTATTTCGGGGGATGGCCGACTAGTTTTCGAACAGTGTTGAGCAAATAGAAGTGTATCTTCGAAATACACACCTACGTAAAATCGTTTATATTTAATAGACACATTTAAGGTTATGACTATAATACAATAAAATAAATTCTCAACTAATAAAATTTTCATACATTCCTACATCCCAGACACTTCTAAACCAATAAATTTTGTAGAACAATGAAAGTAATCATTTTCTAGTACTCTACTAATATATAATTCCGGCCAGCCTTAATATCAAAGTCCATGCAGATACATACAATAACCACAGACAGCGCTCACTCACATAGGGTACGTATGGGTGGCAGTACTAACGTAGTGTGTGTCGCGGCGCGCGCCTTTAGGTGGATCCTCTGACCCCCGCCTCGCATCCCCATCGCCACCACCACGGGGAGACTCCCGCGATTCTAGCCCCCGTGACCCCAGGCGCGCCACACACAACCACCGAAACGTTTCAGACCGAGAGCGCTGCCCCGCTGCCGACCCCAACCTTACCTGTGCCTCCTTCCTCGAGTCCTGCAATTACACTACCTACCCCACCTCCACCGACGACCGAACCCCCCACGGAAGAAGCGCCCCCTGCCGCGGAAGCTACCACTCCCGAGTCCGCCACTTCTAATATGTATACCATGGAGGTTTGTCAACCGGTCTCCAGCTTTGCGTGTCATATGCATGTGTGTTTATCGGGTCTACCCCGTCGCATGTTGTTCTTTTTACTGCTAGATGGTAGTCGTTACTGTTTTCTGTATTTGACCGTATATTGCATAAGATTACGTTTACATGATTCAGCCAGGTGTTTTCCTGTTGCTAGCACAAATGTTTTACCCCAAAAAGAGTCCCGGTAGATACTGTGCCCTATTATTGCTACTACTGGTATTGTATGCTAATGAATTTTAAATGTCGCTCTTTAACTTAATAAAAATAAATATCGTAATTGCCAATTTACTACTGCTAACAGTCGCTCGACTACTATTAGATCCAATAGCACTTCTAATTTTGTGATTATGTTGGTGTTACCAGTCTTGTTACGTGAAATGACTACTAAGTAATAACTTTTTTGCAAGATTTTTTTGTTGTTTGATTAAGTTGCTATGACTTGGACACTTCTCTTCATAGAGTATATTATCATAGTGCCAAAGAAAATTGAACATTTGTGCTGGCTTAGGCTCCTTAGCGAAATAATTTTGACTTCTGGATATCCTACTTTTTATTTAATTCGTATTTTGTAATTTAGTTCTTTTGTACATATAATTTAATTTGTTTTATCGTTATACATTTATGTAAGCAATTGTCGTATGCCCTAACTATATAATAATTGAATACATCTTACCTGTCTGAGATCTGAAGTAGTTGTTGAAGTACCATAATATTGTGATTTTATTTTTATTTATAAACCTGCATACTTACCCTTAGTTACAGTTTATTGTATTTATATGAGTAGTTTTTAAATTATAATTGTTTTGTTATTTAGCATGAGTGTAATAATTTTTAAGATAAATATGTTTTAACTAGATCTGATAATATTTCTTATGTGATACTGACTATAACATAACATTATAACACAGAGAGCACACAACCATAAATCACAAACGGACTAACAGACACATTGTTATACTTATCAGAATTAAATTTTCTGCTAATAGCAGTAAAACAAAGTTGAAGCATTTTCCTATTTGATAATAAAATAATTACTCCAATTGACTCATCTATGTCAATACAAAAAGATTGCTCAATTTGTAGTTGAAATATTCACTTACACATTGATGAGTAACACGGTTAAAGTTACTAACAGCTCCTTCTGTAAATGTTATACTTTACACATTCAAATAACAAAATTAAAATTGCGATACAAATTTTTATATATTTCTTCACAGGATCACAAAGTTACTATAACGGAGATATCGGCATCGCCGTCAGAGACCAGCAAGGTGAATTTCTCCATAGCACCTACCGAGGATATTGCACCCAGAAGAATTAACTTTAACGAATTTGCACCAATTGTCGTTCCTGAAACAACTACAGCAGAACCTGAATTGGTATGTCTTTTTGTATTTACTGATTAAATTCTAACTTTCACCTGTAAACGTTGAACTAATCGTGTGTGGAATTTGATTTTAATTTAACAAAGGGTAGATAAGTATTCAGCTGGTTCACACCCATTTTAGAAGTAACTTTGTATGTAAATACTTATCAAACTAATCTTTAACGTAAAGACAACGATTTATAATTAAGACTAAGTATTGATAAAACTTAATTTGCATCGTAACTTCATTAAGAATGTCACTATTTCTGTGGGGTCTCTATTTCTTTGTACTTATATACGTTCTTAAAATATCTATGCATACAACTTTCAACTCTTTTACGTTGTCTTATCGTCTATGTAATCACAACACATCGTGTGAGCGTCCGCATGGCACTTTCAGCAAACTGTAATTATCCGCGCGTCCAACGAAGTACCCCCGATGACGTCTACGGAACGAGAGACGTCCGTAGCGTCACCATCCTCGTCTACCCCCTTGGAGATCACGACACAGCCGACCACACCGGTTGTGCCGACCACGTTGCCGACGCCGACCACGTCGACGCCAACTCCGACACTCGCTACTGCGCCTACTACGCAGGCTACCACTACACCAACAGCCCCTACTACCACTTCTCTACCAGAAGCGGTTACATTACAAGAGGTTACGAAACAGGTCCGTGATTAAAATATATTTTACGTGCCAATTTTTATCTTTATCAACTGTAAGTACATCATAATCCCGAATCATCACATCCATAAGTAAAGTGTAATTGGACGTAGTTTGGATAAACAGTATTTCCTACTAATTCTTCCAAAGTTCTGTGTGTGAAATCGGTAGCTTGCGATTGCCACTTCTTGGATTTCTACTATACCATTAATTCATCTAAATTTTTAATTGGCATGCTGGGTAATATTAAGCAATTTTCTATTGGATGTTCATATAATTCGGGTATTTACGTTACATTTTCTAGAGAAACATATTTACTAAACATTCTTCGACATGCACTAAAATTAACGTTATTTCCTTCTTTTAAAATTACTTTTGTAAAAATCTTTACTTTTTCTTAATAGTTACGATTACCTATTTACCATTTACCCTGACAATTATATTGAAATAAATATTTCGGTATTATAGGAAACAAGTCCAACAGAAGGCAGGAGCACAATATCCGGTCAGACGACCGAAACTGTCAATGTCGTTGCATGGACTATGCCAGTAAATCAGCCGCCTACATTGAAGCACCATATGAAGAAACTTGCAACCATTGCAGGAAAAGCTTTCAGGTATAAGTCTAAACAAATGTTTTTCATTTAAAACATCACAGATGACATAGCATATTGTCGCTGTTTTGATTAAACATGATGACTACTAAAAAATTTAGATGTTAAATAAAGTCCCCAAAAATTATACTCATGCACACTAAAACACTCTATTAATATTGTCAGCGAACTATTTGTTTTAATACAAAGTGCATTCAAAGATATTATAAAAATATGTACTAAGGATATTTATGTATTAATAGGAATAGTTTTTGTATACCCTGTTGTAACTGTAACTAGGATAAATTTACATTACTTGTGCATGTGTAACAATAATTTCCTGTCGCTTTCCTGTAATTTGTAGCAGTTACTTCGGCAAAAGGGACGGAATTGTGTAACACGAGTACTACAATTATGTTGGGACCTAAAAAGTAAATAATTTTCTATAGGTACATTATACCGGCGGATCTGTTTACGGACCCAGAGGATGGAACCAACCTTACTTTCACGATGTACGAGGCAGGGAATGTGCCCCTCAGCAAGAGTTCCTGGGTACAGTTCATACCTTCGGCGCGAGAAGTATATGGATTGTTAGTATATCGATGTCATAATTATACTTCATGTTCACTATTAGCAAGTGTCCAAAGCAAGTCACGCTCTTGTTTCCCACTTATATAGTATGGTACAAGAAAATAAGATAGCTTTTCATAAAAAAAATCATGAATGATATAATCAGTATGTAACTTTAGTCAGTGTGTAGTCGAGTTATTTTTCGTGTAATTTTGTTCCTCGTTTCTCATTAATGCAAGTACAGCTAGTTTATTAAATATTCACGTTTTATATAAAAACTTATTTTTTTTAAATATGTTAATGGAGTGCATACACGTCGTCAAAAATTATTTTCTTTCTAGACCACTAGAAGCCCATGTATCTCGCTGGAACTTCATAGTAGAAGCTCAAGACAGCGAAGGACGGGTGGCTCGCGGTCCCCTCGACATCACCGTCCAACAGCACAAGAGTGGCCGCACAATCAACCACCAGTTCGTCATGGAATTTAAACTGAACAAGGAATATAAATACGCGATCGACTGGCAGATACGAGCTCTCGAAGGGATCGTCAACCTCTTTAGAGATACAGACATGGATCACCTCACAGTATTGAACACGACGCAGAACGGAGACATTTACCAATTCGTTTGGACGAACGATACGCTACCGAAAGATCCCGCTTGTCCCATGGACGATATCAATAGGCTAATGAAGGTTTGCATTTAATTATTTTATAGGACTAATTCCCATGTCGAGGGGTACTTGAAAACATCCATACAATGGACACACAGAACACCAAGACTAGGGACAATCAGAGTTTGGCGGTAAAGCTTTTGATCGGCTGTGTGCATGCCCGTCTGAATGTAGTAGATGTCGAAGTTTAAGTTGTACTGTAGTTTAAGTTAACAATAATAACTTCACGCATCTCAGACACGGTCGTCTGATCTCAAACTAGGCAAAGCTTATAAGATGGTAACTAGAAAGATGATAAATATACTTGTATATTTTTTAATACGTACATATCTTAATAAATAAAACAAAGACGGGTTATGTTACGCCCATTTATAGCTTCGGAACGGCTGCATTAATTTTTATGATGATTGAATTTTGGTTATATCTCCACCCTGAATAGTCTTTCTTCAAGCTTTTTTTAGATTATTCACGCCAAAGTACTAGAGGATATCGAAGAAAGTAGAAAGAAGTAGTAGTTCTGTAGAAAGACTGTTGTTGGACTATTTGGGGCTCTAAATATGTTTCTATATATTATATAGTAAACGGGGTCGACGCCTGAACGTACTCCCCAAAGCACGAAGGAGTCTCAATGTGTTAAGAATAATCGAAGGCTAGGCTTAACTTTGCTTAACTTTTCAAAGTGTTTACCTGATCGGTTATCATTTTGTCACGAGCCCCTTTTACACCTCGAATAGCAGAATAATATTAAAATGTTTTTAAAATTTATGAAAAAATTAGGCAGAAAATTTACTTTCTCATACACATAGTGTATGTAACCTAACACGGATGAAGTGCAGAGCTGTGCTTGAAAAATTCCAATGCAGATGAAACCGTAGGGAATTTATAGATTACATCTAGACACAAAACAAATAATCTCGCTCCTCACACGATCGCTTGCCTCGGTTGGGAATCGAAACCAGGCCTGTCGACGACAACAACAAAAACAAAATTGGACAATAGTAATAAGGAAGCGTGTCGGCAGATAATGGAGTCGGAGACGCAGAGCGGCAGCCCGTCGGCGGGGCTGGCGCGCGCCATGCAGCCGGAGCTGAAGGTGGCGCGCGTGGCGTGGCGCGGCGCCGGCCGCTGTGCGCACGCGCCGCCCGCCGCGCGCGCGCCCGACACCTACCCGCCCATCACGCGCAACCAGGTCGACCACCTCACCGCCACCGTCGGACACCTGCTCGTCTACAGAGTGCCCGAGGTCAGTGTCCACTGCACGGGTGCTGGGGGGGACGCGTACTCGCAGATCTTGTTATATACTTTCCGAGATCTGTGACAGACATACGCGGACACCTATCACATTCTGTACTGTTTTATTCTATATATTTTTGAAGAAGTCGATGAAACTGAAACGACTTCAAATTTGTTACCTTTGAGTTTTACTACTGATCCTATACCTTGCTAAAATACGGATCCTATTTTAACTATTTTCAGGACACATTTTTCGACCCAGAAGATGGTGATACACGACATTTGAAATTGTCGCTCCGATACAGCGACCGTACAGAACTACCCGTGGGACACTGGCTACAGTTCGATGCGAAGAACCAGGAGTTCTACGGTCTACCCACGCCTAGCGATGAAGGAAGCGTCCCCTACCAACTGGTAACTTTAATTTATTTGTTTTTATTTATTTAGGATCTTTTTATTTTTATCGATTGAGATTTACTCACTTTTGAGATTTACTTATTGAGATCTCAATCGATACATTTTGATAGTCAAACTGAGATTTGAAAATTAAGTCTAATGTTTCACAATTGAAAAAGACAACCAGCACAAATAGTAATTCATACACGCATAAATCAATTTCTGATATTGTTATTGATATTAATTTCCCTTAACAAATAGCTTTTAAAGGCACCGCAAACCTTTTTCCACTAACTTGACTGGGAACTTGTCAAAATATGTCAAATTTATAAATTCCAGATTGCTGAAGACTCGAGTAAGAAAAGCGCGTACGACAGCCTTATAGTGGAAGTAGCTAAGGCCCCGACCATCCGGCCTACCGTCGAATTCCAGATGACCATGGATTATCCCTTCCCGAAGCTAGCCTACGATGCCACCAACAAACGCAAGGTGGTCGAGAAACTCGCAGCACTGTTCGGACAGAAGGAAACTGATAATATCAGGATACAAAGCATCACGAATAACCCTACAACAATTATATGGTTAGTTTTATTAAATTACTTAAAATAGTATTAGACTGTTGAAGCTACAGCACGGAGACAAAAATTTACTTCGTACACTATTTAAATAAGATACTTTCGCGAATTATTATAAATCTACATCTGACTGGAACAAGGTATATGAAATTAATGCAATGCAAATGCAAATGCAATGCACATTGTCATAGTTATGGGTACTATACAATACTTAACGAAATTAGATTTGTATTCGTATATAAGACCACTTATGTGTATGTCACTTAATATCTGAAGATAAAGGACTTGTTTCATTTCATTTTGGACTACGTTTAATAGAAATTCAGTGGATAGTTACACGTATATTATAGTAACTTTTACATCGGCGTAGGTAAAATTTATAGTAGAGAGGTAAAATTATTGGAATAATTATTTCTATTAAGTGTTAAACCACTTTGCGAAGGATGTAACCTATGAACTTTTTGCATATGAAATCCAAGATACTGTATTTTGAATTTGCCTTTTGTTTCATTATTTTATGCTTATGACTTTACTGGTAATAAAGTTATTTTTCCCACAAGACGGTCTTTCAAACAGATAGAGTTTCGCGGTTATATTACCATGAATTATAGTTTTAATTATTTAGGATGTTGACGGTAAACTCATAATTTCTCAATGCGCTATTACAGGTACAACACAAGCTTACCAATGGATCGTTGCCCGAAAAGAGAGATAGAGGAACTTCAGCAAATGATTATAGTCGACGAAAGAGGACCCGCTGGCAGTGCACTCAAAGAAAACGTCGATCACGTGTTTGACAAGGATATGAAAGTCATGTCGATCAGACTGTTACCTCTTGGCCTTTGCGCTGAACAAAATACTAAAGTACCAAAGACGCCGATACAAATAAACGCGGGCTCGCCAACCAACCCGAACGTCAACGTCAACTTGCAGAACAGCAAGGCGAGCAATGCCGCCGCCGATCAGAGCTATTTGGTGACGTTCATCATACCAGCTGTTGTCATCGTCTGTATGATCCTGCTCGCGGGGATCGTCGCGTGCGTATTGTATAGGAGACGGCGAACAGGTATTACATTTTTATATATTTAAATAAACCCTCATATTGCGCAGTCAGGTTACTCTTTAAATTCACCTTACATGATTAAATCGTGTATGTCTTTGACCCACGTTGTCTAATATTTGATCTGAAACTGTTAAATTGCTGATACCTACAAAAAAAAATCAATTAAATATTTCAGATACTGGTGCAAAAGTAGCATAATTTTCGGAATTATAATTCTATATTTCCAAAGTGTTAAGTTCAACAACAGCCTTTAATAGTCCACTGCTGGACATAAGCCTCTCCTTAGAAAGGAGGTTTTGGCCTACTATACCACGCTGGCCAAACGGGTTGGTATAGGGTTTGTATCAAGTTTTCCTTCTCTCTGCAGTGCTGTTGTCCTGCAGTAGTTTTTGTTTTTTCCCTTAGTCGGCTCTTACGACACCCACGGGATGAATAGTGTTAAGTTATCAATATTGAATGATATCTTAGTAATTGGTATTAATTGAACAGTCGCAGATATCATATATACGTATACCAATCTTTCTGTGTAGAGCAAATACGTAGTGCCTATTTTATACTGGACTTTGTAATTTACAATCGGCTGAAGAATGCTAGTAAATATTAAAAGTATTGTAAAGCTAGATTTTGAACAAAAATGTATAGACATAGATAGAAACAATCTATTTCTGTAACTTACGGTCGGTCTTTACTTACGGAAATCGCATTTCTCTTGAAAATTGAAGCCCTTTTTGTCCCCGTATTTAAATAGCAACTTTGTCTATACAATACAGTACAATACCAACTAATATTTAGTTTTAAATTCTGTAGGAGGTGAGAATACTGAAAATGCTTGAATATAAGGTGATATAAAACAACACAAAAGATCGTTCAATAGGTGTTTAACCACTATTTACGTTTGTTTATTTCTTATGAGCCATTTGCTTTTCACGTATTGGTCAAACTGCTAGATAAACCAACAAGAATTTTAAATTTAATTAATCCACTGCATAGCTCACTTACACTAAAACCACTGAGTATAACTTTAATTCGCTTAGAAACTGCAATTTAAATATTGATTGATGTAAATACACATCAAGATTTTGTGTCAACCAATTTGCACATGAGACAATCAACAATATTAGGCAGCAATAATATTTCGATAAGTGACGTCACTATCTCGTGTACTTAGGACCAATCATTACCCCTTGCACCTATTAAAAATTACCACTTATTGATAAGTTTGATACTGACTTAAGATTATTTGTAGCACGGAACTGCGAGCATGTAGTTAGAAATGACAAAATGGTGTGTCGCTAAGTGCACACATTTAAACGATATTCATATCTCACATTCACATACAGAATTCTGCGCTAATTACATAATAATAAACACACCCTTACACTGTAATAATATAATCAATATAGTAATATGGTATGTATCGAATAATGTTTTAGTAGATTTGATCATAAAGATTTTCTCTTTGAAATTACACAATACTGTGATGTTTTTGTGCCTTTACTTTTGTTTTCACTAACATTTAAAATTACATCGCCATATGCTTTTCAGCCTATGTTATAAAATAAGATATTTCATGAGTATCAGTGCTCTGTATCTCAAAACAAAAAGTCGGGTAGGAATCGGCCGAGGCTAATCGTAGATCTAATATCTTTGATAATTAACAAGTGTAGGCGTTTTAGGTAAAATGAGCGTCGGCGACGAGGAGGAGCGCCAGGCGTTCCGGTCGAAGGGGATCCCGGTGATCTTCCAGGACGAGCTGGAGGAGCGCGGGGACTCGGAGCCGGTGCACAAGAGCCCGGTGATCATGCGCGAGGAGAAGCCGCCGCTGCTGCCGCCCGCGCCCGACTACCGCGGCGCGGCGGCCGACGACGCGCCCTACCGCCCGCCGCCGCCCTTCGCCGCCAGCCGCACGCCGCCGCGCCCCAAGGCCACGCCCACCTACAGGAAGCCGCCGCCCTACGTGCCGCCCTAAGGCCCCGCGCGCCCCGCCACCCCTCCGCCCCTCCGCCCTACTCCTGACGTCTCTGTAGCTCTTACCTTTTACTAAAACGTACTGCGGTGGAACTAGTCGACGCGCGGCCGCGAGTATTTTCCAAAATTAATTTATTCACCCGCTCTCCTCTCTTGCGAACTTAACTTATTACATTTTACCGGTAGCGCTCGAACCGATGAGACGCATTTATAAGTAAGTCAGGAGACATAAATTTCGTCGAAACGAGGAATTGTGCACAGTTTAATGTGACTACGAATTTCTTATATTGTAAGTTTACGTCACGAACTATACCGACGAAGTAGGTGTGATGTGCGTCGATGTTTCAATTATATAAAAACTGGAGACTACATGAAATAAAGTACCTAGTGTTATTGTTGAAGTAGATGATTTTACATTAGCTCCTAGTGTAAGCCGTTGTTCGATTGAAATTGTCCGAATGGTCTCGTATATTTAAATCATTTACACGCAGTGTTAAATTTAAATGAAATGCACGAAAATGCCTACTTTGACTTAAAAACTGAATATGTAACTGAATAATCTTAAAACAACGACCGGAGTTAATAATATCGATCACAAACAATGTTATTAAAAATAATATACCTACTAGTTATACTGTTATAATAACCCACATGTATAAATATCAAAACGAAATTTACCCTTCACGTAATATTTTCTGTCTTAAAAAGTTGTTTACGATATTTCAAATTAACAGAGCACATGTCAATTGCCTAAAAGTGGGCTCACATTCAATAACCATTTATTTATTAGCTAACATACCAAAATAACAGTTAAACGTTTGGCTAAAAATGTGCCATTGTTCTGACAGTTGTTATTTAATGTAATTTAAAATAAAACATATCGAAAGTGTAACATTTTAGCCTTTAGTGTAGCTCTTCCATACACATATTTATAAGTAGTGCGCGTGTGAGCGAAGTACATTTGAGGGTTACTGTTCCGAAGCGACCTCCGGACACGTAGCCAAAGGTCGGTATTTAACGAATCGCTCTTTATAAAACATGAGTTGTTCATGTCCTAGGTGGTATGTAAACGGTGAAATACAATTAACATACTATTGTAATTAATATACAACTGACTCTAATTTATAGGCTACGAATAGATATATTTAAGAATGGAATATCATTTTGTACTTGTCTAATATTACCATAGTTTTAAGGTTAACAAATTGTCTAAACTTAGGGACTTGAACGAAATGAGCTATAATGATAACTTTTCTTTGGATGTATTTTTTTCTACTGTATACTCATTTAGAGTTTTGCATTTATAGATCTTTTTAGTGTTATTAATATACAATTTTATAGGCCAGCTACATTGGAATGTTCAGTTTTCTTTTTTATCCTTTCAATTGTTTGTAAGCGTACTTAATTATGTCTACACAGTACTGTTCTAATTTCAATTTTTATCCTATCCATTGTAGCTTTATTTTCTTCTCATCAATTCTAATTATATACGCACATAATTTATGTAATTAATGAGCTTTTTATTTAAAATAAATAAAAACTTGGTCTAGACATAATGTGTTTTATTTTGTGTACAGTCTACATTTGACATTATTATTATTATATTATAATTAAAATTAATCATATAAGTAGCATAGTAAGTTAAATAAATCATAATATAAGAAACCGCTTCACTAAGTTTTGAGTCAGAACCAAAATGAAAGTCCAAAATTCAAGGATTTAAAGCACTAAAACAAATAAACTATTTCAAAATTTTCACTATTAATGATATTTATTTCTGCAAGTAAGTATTTCCAGATATTTTTACAAGTCGGAATTTATAGCTAGAAGGCTTCGGTATTTCCTTAGATTCACTCTGTGAAGAAACGCCGAAACAAACCACAGAGGTGTCTTTTATTTTAAGTCCGTGTACAATGTTAAAGAGAATTATTATAGGGTCTGCATTGGCCTTTTGAAGAAAGGACCATAGTTTTGAGTAGGCTTGTCGTTTATCTTTATTAGTTAACAAAATATGTGATGTTTCATTAGAACTATTTTGAATTCTTAATTTTTATTGGGCTAATATAAAGCTGACATAGACCAGTATTACTTATTTAGAATCGGGCTTGGCACCGACTTACTTATTATAGTTGTTTTACTTAGATTTGTAATTTTTATTTAATTTTTAGGCCCGCCAGGCTTGTTCACCTCACCTGGTCGAAGGATCCTCCCTTTGTGTTGGAGGGACATGACACCCATTCCTCCTCACACCTAACAAATATCTTGAGCGAAAAAAACAAGGTAAATACATGATTAGGTTTTTGAAAGAGTTATCCTCCAACTCCTAAGGGTCAAGGACCCTTTCATCATCAACTCAGCAACATGACGTAACGACTACTAAATGCAAATCCCTATATAGCTAGACAAATAAGCTAAAACACGTTGTCGGGACTAATCCCACCCACACGCCCACCACTGTAACTCCTGTACACCAGGATCCACAGCAGTGACCCACGAACACACCGAGTTATGACACTCGGGAAGTCCCAGGAAGAAATTAAACTGTCTTGGAACCCGCAACGCAATTAATCAAAAGAAAATTGGAGGAGTTGGAAATACAGTAAATCCACTTCCCTCCTTGGCAAAGCGGGAGACAAAATGAAGTAAAATGGGCATACACCCTTTTAAACAGGGAAGCACCACGGCCACAAAATATTAAGGGTCCTACGTGAGCTATATTTGATTTCTATAATATGCATGGCAGAATCGCCTAAACGCACGGAAATTCACCCTTGTTGACACAAGATTCCCATAGTATACCGCCCCAGATGTCACTTGCAAGCTATTCAGCATTATATTACGTTCATTATACCAAAGACTACATTACCAGAGGATATGATGAGCAGACTGTTCATTGTGAGAGTTAGGTGTTGAGCATTGACACAATGGTGACTCGACTAATTTAAATGAATAAAGCTTGCTCTTAAAGTTACCATGACCCGTAAGAAATTGAGCGACACAGTAATCCACCTCAAGCCATGTCCTCGACAACCGCTCGCGAACAGATGGAAAGAATTGGTAAAGATGGCGCCCCTTGGACGATTCATCCCAGCGTTGTTGCCATTCGTCTATGAGGTCATTATAGACATCGGCCTGCTGTTGAAGCAATCTTGTAATGCTACCGCGATCCCGCGCGCCCAAAAAATCGCATTCCATGTTTTATTGTCTTGAATAGTACATGGCTGCACGTCTTTGCACCTCGAGAACGACCGGAAGCACACCCGCCAACACCGGCAAAGTTGTCGGGCCTGTAAAATTTGAGGGTTCTCCTCGATTTCTTTAGGATCCCATCATCAAATCCTGATTTGGTGGTAATCGGATCTCCTTGGGAGCAATCCATTTCGATTACAAAAATAATTTTGAAAATCTGTCCACAATTGACGGAGATATTGCGTAACAAATATGCAAAAAAAACAGACGAATTGAAAACCTCCTCTTTTGTGTTTTGGATGTCATGCGTGTCGACATGGCCATACTGCCTTACATTTATATTATATCATATCTCCGATATATTATTTCTCCGAGTGCGTTAGTAGACGACTACATACATACCAACATAAACCATAATTTTTGTTTTACACAAGGGAGCATTAATGATAGGAAAATATTATATTGGCAAGTGAGGTAAGATGAGAATGTCAAACATAAAACATAATTTTTGTTTCACACAAGCGAGATTTTATCATAGCAAATATTGTACTGGTAAGCGAGGTTAGATAAGAAGGTAAGAAATGATGCTTTTACGAGATGAGAGAGGTTTGGATGAGGTATTTTGCACCTAAACCTTCAAGTAAAGAGAGTACTCCTTCCTAAATGGCCAGCAACGCAATTGTGACTTATGAGTAAGCAGGCGATAGTCACTTTCCATTAGGTGAATCGTCTACTCGTTTGGCCTCTCTTTTGTAAAAAAACAGTAAATTAAGCCAAATCTTATGTTAGTCTTTTATTAATCTTATTTTTAAGTTTATAGACATTAGACATAGGGTTAGGTCTATAGACATTTTATCTACAATTTAAAAACAGATGGGAAGTTAAGTTCATCGTCAAGTTGTCATTGTTATGACAATCCGAAATGTCAAAATTGTCAAATCCAATTGAATGCGAGAGCGCAAACAAGTATTATTTATACTGTTCTAGTTAATCATACATTTTTGTAATACCGGTAAACGAGAATATATATATTTCATTAATTACTTACCACAAGAAAGTCAAGATGACGGAAGGACGAGGAAAAATGCGCAAATTTAATTTTAATCTAAGAAGTCTTCGCCTTTCCTTGAAATACCGGCCTGATGTCCTGAAGCTCATATTAAAAATGAGGCAGTGTATAAGGAATAAAAATTCTAAACTAATTCAGTGTAAACAACAACTAAAAGCAATGGTATGAAAACATTTTAATGGTCTAGTGGTTAGTGACTCTGTTTGCTAAGCCACAGGTTCGATTCCCACCCAGGAAAAATAATCTGTAATGTCATTTTTTCTGTGTCATGGTGTTATTTATCTATAATATGTATGTATTTAGAAATACATCAGTAATGTTCATCCCCAGTCTCATTACCATAGTACCTAGTTACCTACCTGCCTAGTTTGGGATCAGACAACCATGTGTGAGGACTATTATTACTTTTTATGTGTGAAATACCCTATACTGACCTGTATGGCCTGCATGGTATAGTAGGCCAAAACCTTCTTTCTACGGATTTCTAAGGATAATTTGTAAAATGGTGACACAATGACAGTTCAAGTTGTAAAGAAAATAAAGAATTATGTTTTAATGTAGACCAATATGCAATGTATGTGTTTAAGTACTTTCAAATGTGATAGAATTTAATTGTCAAGTATGCAAATTTCTTATAGGTGCTTAGAGTACAGTACCTGGATAACCAGTATTTTTTATTGGTAAATTTTCTAAAAATGAAACCTAACTAGATCCATTAATCGCCCCCAAAACCCCCTGCATACTAAATTTCATAAAAATCATTAGAACCGTTTCCGAGATTCAGATTATATATGTATATAGATATATACAAGAATTGCTTGTTCAAAGGTATAAGATTGTATGATGCATCTATTACTAATGTTACTACATTTGTAAATGTTTTAACTCTAAAGAACATGTAATTTGGTAATGAAGCTGGTTGTTATTATTTTCCAGGAAAAAAAGACATCTAAAGAAAACAATGTAGTAGAAGATAATCTGGAAAAATCCAATAACATAGACTCGGAAGCAAATGTAGATACACTTGCATCATCAAACGAACTGGATACAATTGATAATCTTAAAACAGTAATTGAAAATAAAAAGAAAGCCGTCAAAAAGAAAACAAAACTTAAAAATAAGGCAACACAGACTGATAATGTTGTAAGTTCTCCTAAAATTAAATCAGAATCGAAAGAAACTGGTGCAAAATGTGAGGAGTCTGGTTGGAAATTAAATGAAGAAAATGATAGTAAGAGTATAGCAGACCAAGTGAAAGAGGTGGCCCAGGATGCAATGCAGCAATCCGGTATGGTGTATGTAGAATCAGCTGGAATGTATTATGATTATAAGACTGGCTATTACTATAATTCTGTAAGTTTATATGTGTTTAATTAACAAAACTATGAATATAACTAAAAGCAGAAAATAATTTCTGTTAATGAATAGATCTGTAACATGGTATAGGGGAAGAAACAAGCAATGGGGTCACCTGATAGTAGGTGACTACCGCTGCCCATAGACACCCGCAACTCAAAAGTCACAAGTGGACTGTCACCCCTTGAGTCCCCTCCCCAGAATCAGATTGAATGGGGTTTTGGGCACTGGTAAGTTCATTGCTCAGTGAAAAGCAATGAAAGTATTGACCCTGTATGTTGAAGCATTGCTCACCTACAGTCAAAAGACTGAATTAAAGAATAGAATTATTAATTTAATTGAATTTGAGTTTTAAGATTGTATTAATAAAAATATCGAATTAAAATTTGAATCGGTACTCTAAATATGAAATTTTGTTCCAGGAACTAGGGCTGTACTATCATACAGATACTGACTGCTATTATTACTACTCAGAAAAGAAGCAAACATTTGTGTTCCACTCCTTCCCAGACAGAAAGCAGTCAGCTGCACAGGCTTCACTAGCAGCTCATGAAAAGAGGAAGGCTAAAAAACATAAAATGGTTAGTATAAATAGTATATATTGCTATATATTTCGTTTGCGAAAAACCTTTTTATCAATTTTTTGTCATCATAATTAAAAAAACATTTTTAACAATATGTAAGCTTGATAGAAAACTAAGTATGTTTATTATATTTTCAGGCGAGAAAGGCAGAAGACGAAATTGATAACCTGACGAAAAATCTATCTCAGGTTTCACTCCGAGGCCAAATAGCCTTAGGTAAATAAAATGATTAATGATCAGACCAATACCAACATTCTAAATGTTATATTACAGGATGGTGAGGAAAATAATGAAAATAAACCCAAACAAAAGAAGAGTAAGAAGAAAGCAGTTCAAAAGGATGTTTCCATGAATGAGAAGAAACTTAATGACAATTCTGATCTAATTACTGAACCAAATAATGAAATCATTAGTGAAAGTAAGAAAGAGCAAAAGGAAAGTAATGATGTAGAAACTGATGATAAAGCTGATGTTAAACTAAAAGAAATGGAGGAAGGAGAATGCAGTGATTCAAGCTCAGAACAGTCAGATTCTGTAGACGAAGAAGTCAAATCAAATGCTAGCACATCCACTGCTAGTGATGATGGTAAATTAATAGAAAGTTTTTCATTTTTGTGGATGTATAAAAAATAATAAGTGCATATTTGGGCACTCTAAAGAGAGAAAAAATGATTGGCTTAATCTGTTATTCAATGTTTCACTAGGGTCTATTTTTGTTATACATGTGTATATTTGAACTAGCCCCCTTTTTGTGTCACTACAGTAGGTTTAGTAGATTTTGATTTGATTGAAGGATACTAAACAATTTAGCTAGTGTTTGCCTAAACACCATTCAGAATTATATTACAAAAGATAAAGGTAAAACGTACAATGTAAAAATTTATACCTTTTTTGTTTGGTTTTTAATTTTAGACTATATACGAGTATGACATGAGTCGCTACATGACGGTTGGACAGTCTGCAAGAGAAAATAATTTGTCCCCAATATGAATTTTCCTTCATAGGGACCAAATCCGAATGGGTCAATTTTATTTTAAAATTGAAAAAAAATTAAATTAAAAATTTCCGAATAAACCTGGTAAATCTATTCGAGATTCTTGAGGATTATAGAAACTAATATTTTTTGATGAAACTGAACAAAATCAGTAGTATTTTAGCCCTTGTGGTACTTATGGTTTCTTTTTTGGAAAAGACCCATAAATATTTTAACAAAACTAATCTAGATTCCCTGTCTCGCTTATCTTATTCTTAATACCTGAACCTAATGGTTCAAGTATTAAAAATGCACATCTATTTGAAATAGATAGTAGTGTTCTCTTCACGAAGTAACGATCTTCCCTCGTTATATTAAAAAAAAAATATTTTGGAACTACAGCTATAAATAAAATATAAAAGCACTTTCTTACATATTTACTTACAGAATCAATAGCGAGCCATCATCCACCCTGCATGCGCGTGATTGTGAAAGAGACAAGTTTACCAAAGTTGCGCATAGGCAGTTTGTTTATTGTAACTAAAGATGGCGGCACCGTTGGCCGGATGGGCGAGCAGCATACCATATTGCTCAATGACAGTAATGTATCCAGGGTGAGGCACTTACATGTTATACTAGACATACCATGGTGGTCGAATTTTGACCTTAATATGTTTCGGTTTATTACATTGACCAGTATAAGTGGAACTGTCGTTATAATATTGATCTGTATGACAGGTCAACACGTATACTTCACTCTTGAAAACTGGAACACTCGAAGTCATAGTGATTTTTTTTTAGGTGGTATTCCCAACTTATCCTACATCTAAACTTTCAGTATTCCAAGAAACACATTCTTCTTCATTCATTCGTTCTTTCGAATGTACTTTTCTTTTTTAAGTCATCGGTAAAGAAAATTAGATTATACTAACACTATATACGATGTGATATACGTTACCTGATTACTCGAATAGCCGGCTCGAAAGGTACTACGCTAGTAGTTAGTGCCATTGTCGATAGGTCAGCACCTGGCGATTTATTCAATTATAGAAATATGTTTACATTTACGTATTTTTCACAGTATATATTATTATTATAAATTATATTAAAAGTTCAAAAAAGGCAATGGTGTGATTTTTTTAGAACCACATGAACATAATATACGATGATAAACGGCGCTCGTATTTCGCGGTCGATCTTGGCTCGAAAAATGGAAGCATATTGAATGGCAGTCGCATGTCTGAGAGCGAGGTTGTCAGTGAACCTATGGAGGTAAGTGCTTTATACTAGCCGGTACCCACGATTCTGTCTGCCATCGTTGTGTATCGTATTTCGTCATGTTATAGTTGGTCCCGATATAAGCTGGTCCTGTAAGCAACGACTGGCGGGCGGGACTTGACTGGTCTCCCTAGTCTAAGTCCCGCCAGCCGTTTAAGCACCTGTGTTCAAGTGATAACATTTCCTGGGAAACATAATGTTCGTTTTGCAACCGGGACCGACGACTTAAAGTGCTCTCCAAAGCACGGAGGGGTCATGTGATAAGAAATGGTCACCCATCCATAGAATTTTATATTTGCAATGTATTAACCTACTCGGTTACCACTTAGCCACGAGCCCCTCTTGTTATATAAAAACAATTTGTTTTATTGTTTCACATAGTACATTTTTTTTTTTCATTTAACATGATCTTCGGTTTTATTTTGTAGATAGTGCATGGCAGTACTTTACAACTTGGCGAAACAAAGTTATTGTGTCACATACATCCAGGGAATAATACATGTGGACATTGTGAACCAGGACTGCTGATGGAAGGTAAAGCAATTGAAAAAATATGATTGAATATTATTCTGTAGGGTCTAGTCTAGTCTTAGGATCCTAGAAGACTGTCTAGCGCCTATTGCGTAGCGTTTTCTATCATGGGCTCCTGTAAGTTATAACTATTGACCAAAATATATAACATTAAAAGTCGGGTAAAAAACAAAATTAAGAAAGAAGGGCTCTTCTTTCTTAATTTTGTGTCTGGCTGAAGAAGGGTTATGTGTTTCGAGTGTATGTATGTATGTATGTTTTTTGCTCTGTAGCCTAAATGACTTCATGGATTTCGAGGTAGCAAGTGTCGTTAGATTGTCGGTATATATGGTATACTTATTAGGTATTATAAATTATGTCTTACATCTTAATGTTAGTGTAGGGAGGGAGGTCGCGTCACCTACCGCCTGACGCCTATACTCACTGGGCATGGCTGCTTCGGTTAGTACCTAAATCGAATGAGACGCGAGCAGACGGCACTATGCCAGCACTACGCAGCCGACAAGGACCCCGCCCAGCCCTCCTCCCCCGCCAGCAATCATTACTGCCACTCTCACTGGTGGGTGAGAGGTTTCCTTCCAGAAAAATACCCTTAAACAGGCTCGGGAGAGGGCCGATCCCGAGAGAGAATATAAAAAGAGAAGAATAAAGAGAATTTCGGCGGCGATACCAGTTGTCGATTAGGCTACAGGCTGCCAGAGTGGGGCCCTCTGGTGGCAGATTAATTGTTGCGGTTGGCGATACGATGTTGGTTTGGTCGCAAAAATGCAATCTGGCCTTTACATATAATGATTGGCCCGATAGGCGAGGAGATAGGATAAAAACTCGCTTTTGTAGCTAGCCGAACTATAAACGAGAGAAATAATTTTCTATAGGTTCACAAACAAAATGATTTTATTGTAAAAAGCGTGAGGTGCTTTTCGAGGTATTTCATAATGTAATAACTTTACTTTTACCAATATCTGTCAGTAAAATATTTTTACAACAATTATGATCTAGCACCCTACGCTTTAACAAAAATTATTTCCAACTTTTTACTTCGCTGTTTTACAAAATCAAGGTTTTTAAACTATAATTTGTTTATTTTATTCTGTATGAACACGTTTAAGGTTTATGAATTTGAAAATTATAATAATACAAAAGCTAGTTTTATTTTTATTTTTTAAACAATAATAATTATTTTTTTGTTCTGTATTAAAACTTTAACGTTTTTGAATTTGAAAATAATAATATATTTTTTGAATTTCAAAAATAAAATTAGCAACTAAATTTCCCATTTATTTATTTTATACGAGACCTACTTTCATCAAATGATCACCCTTACAGCTTTAGAAAAAGAGAAGCAAGCATACACTCGGACATGCAGCGTTAAGAAGCAGCACGAACTCGAGTTAGCGCGTCTGAAGAATAAATATGCTAAACCACAATTGGCGATAGAAGAGACGGCCTACAACGACAGAGCGCAAGCGAGACGGGAAGCTGTTGGCTCTTCACATCACGCTGAAAAGACGCAGACTAGTGATATTGACACGTTAGTAGAAAGATATATAATTGTTTTACTTTTAATACTTACAAATTAACGCGAATTTGCTAATATTTTTGCTCCGCTACGTCTTTCAAAATATCATCATACTATATTGAAGGAATAATGAAGACGACTTCTTTGAAATTGCAGTTTTACTTGATAACGTAAAAGGGTAAACAATGTATCACTGTTAATTCAGCTTGTTCCGCATTTAGTTACACATTCGAGCTAATTCTGTTCTTGACATCACTGAACTAAAATCTCTCTCTTATTTTAGTAAAGCGATATCCAAAATGATATTCTGTTGTTAAGTGGAACTAAATTTATTATTTATTTATTTAATTCTTTTTGCACAAACAACAAATCATTGTACAATGGCGGACTTAATGCCAAAGGCATTTTTTCCCAGTCTACCTTTGGGTGGTGGGGAAATGTCTGAGTAGGTGCATGAAATTAAAATTAGGTTACATACACACTGAGATACACATACATATATATACTTGCTGAGTTACATACATACATATAGTACATACGTATATATACATATAACATATAAGACTTTAGGGATGTGATGAGTCTGCTAGAGTGTCGAGAATTCGAGCTCGGACTTTCGTCTTAAATGAGAGGCGACTGGGTGCTATCCTCATTTCCAAAGGCAGAGCGTTCCGGAGGAGGACAGATTGGATTAAGAACGAAGAGTGGACACATGCGGAAGTATGAGTGGGGCATAACAGAAGTGGATTGTTTAATGAACGGAGAGTTCTGTTGTGATTGGCACATAGAAAATGAAATGAGGATGCTAGGTAGGAAGGGGAAATAGGTGAGTTGAGTATGGAATAGAGGGTAGTGAGAGCGTGCAGCTGACGGCGCTGACGAATCGTGAGCCAGTTCAATTCACGACGAGAGGAAGAAACATGGTCGTATTTGCGAAGGTTAAAGACGAATCGCATGCAGTTATTCAGAAGGCGGTCGTATTTATTGAGGAGATCTGCATTCAGGTCATAATAGCATACATCACCATAATCCAAGATAGGGACAATAAGAGTCTGTACTAGCATCGCTTTTGTCTCGGAAGGAAGGAAGTTTTTAAGCCGATAGAAGGCTCGTAGCGTACCTGTGAATCTCTGGCTAACGCTGGTGACCTGGGTTTGCCAGCTGAGCTTGGAGTCGATAAATAGGCCTAGGTTCTTAACAGAGGGACTGAAGGGAAATAAGGTAATAACTGTGCCGTTTAACATACAGAATGTTGGGGTATGCAACAATATTTTGGCCTTTCCGTTATCGGACAGAGCCAGACTGTTGTATAAATTATACATATTGGGTGTAAATAGTTAGACTTTACATAATTATAGTTTATTATTTTAGTTAAGTATTATTGTAGATCTAGTATAGGCAAAGTATATTATTATATTCTTAGCGAAACTGTCATTTAAGTATATAGAATTAATTATTGTTTGTTAATTTTAATTGAGCGGCATTGTCAAACCTGACATAGCTCAATAAATAAAGAGAAAAAAAAAAAAAAAAAAAACTGTGCCGTTATAAGTAATGGGTGGCAGTTTGTTTTGATCCATCCTTCCAGTCATGCGCGGACTGCCTATGATGATGACTTGGCATTTCGCCAAACCAAACCCATCAGCCCAACTGCTAATAGCCTCCAGGTCATTGTTAAGAAATGGCCCCATTTATGTCGTCTGTCGAGGCTTCATAATAGAGTTGCAAGTCATCGGCATAAAGATGGTACGCACATTGAAGATTCGGGGTGATGAGATTGATAAATATTGAGAATAATAGAGGAGAGAGGATGCCACCTTGAGGGACACCACAGTCAAGCTCACGCCAACTTGAAGAGACTTCATCGACGCGGACAGACTGCTGGCGATCCTGAAGATATGAGGAAAACCATTCCAGAGTATTAGGCGCAATCATAAGATAGGAAAGGATAGATATAAGGATATCGTGACTGACGGTGTTGAATGCATTTGAGAAATCGACCAAAGCCAAGATAGTAACTTTGGATTTCTCAATTCCTGCTTGGATGTCGCCGGTCACTTTTAGCAGTGCGGAAGTAGTGCTATGCCCGGGCCTGAACCCTCATTGGAAGGGGCTTAGTAAGTTGTTGCGGTAAATATGTTGGGACAGTTGTTGGTTCACACAGGCCTCGAGGACTTTGGACAGGAAGGCAAGAATGGAGATTGGTCGTAGGTGATTCAGGAGTGTTGGATTCGGGATCTTGGGAAGGGGTATGACAAACGCCTTACGCCATGATGTGGGATAAGTTCCTGAGTCAAGAGAAAAATTAGTTATATGCGTAAGCACGGTAAGAAGGTGATCGAGGATAGGGATGATCATGCGACGGTTAATGTTATCACATCCCATGCCATCCCATCCCATCTTTTTGACTACACCTGGTTCCACTGGAGAAAACTGAAAAGCTTCAATATTGGGACGGGGTAGGTCCGCCAAGAACTGTAACGTCCGACACTTGATTTGGTGATCCAACTGCACTGATGAGGAGAAATGACGGTTAATTTCATCCAAATCAAAGGTCGAAGGAAGGTTACATTTTTCGGATTTGCCGATACCTAGGGTTCCAAGGAACCTCCAGATACCTGAAGCAGATGTACAATCCAGATTTTTGAGAATATGGCAGCGTTTAGCGTTACGCACCATCAGATTACAACGATTTCTCGCAACTCTATAATTGGCCCAGTTTTCGTCACAGCGGTCCCTCTTAAATTTACGAAATGCCTTATCTCTGCGACGCATTGCCTCTCGAACACCTACGGTTATCCAGTGGGCCGGAGGGCGCTTTAATTTAATCTTCGTGACTGGGGCGTGTTGATCGTAAAGGTTTGTTAAGATGGTATTGAACAAGTTGACTTTGTCATCTACAGTAGTGGCCTCGAGCACTGGTTTCCAATTTAATTTGGAGGCATCATATCGAAGTTTGTCGTCATCCATCCTTCCGAGACAGCGAACGTGTAGTAAATTTCGTATATTCATTATGGCAAAATTAAATTCCAATCTGATATTACTAAAAGTTAAAGAGAAAATTGTTACCGTTGTTTAAAAATTAAATAAAAATTAAGAATGAAATCTTTTAAAACGCTATTTTCATAATTTTAAAATTGCTCTAAATGACTTTTAAAATCAAATCGTAAATAAAATGATGTACTTCTCAGTCATAACTAAGTACATACAGTTTTACTCAGTACACATATCTGGCAACCCGCAGTAAATCTTTTTCGTTGGCTATGTAAGTAACCCGAAAATCTTTGAATCTATGGTAATAAATTTGGCATGCTAGAATAGGTATTTAATAACAAAATAATTAACAAACAACATCAATACAGTTCAAAATAAATACATAAGCAAAAATAATTAAATAGAGAAATTATTAATATGGGCTTCAGTAATTACTTACTTATACTAAGCACTGTTTACATCGATGATGGCCTTGTACGAAGGCGCATTATCGTGGTGCAAAATCCAAGAATTTTCTTTCCACAAATCTGGCCTTTTTCATCGAATTTGCTCTCTTAAATGCCGCATAACGCTTAAATAATATTATTTATTTACCGTTTGACCTTCCGGTAAGAATTCCGAGTGCACAACACCGCGATACAAACAAAACAAAACAAAGAAAACAGTCAACATGACTTTGACTTTTGATCGACTTTGGTGTGGTTTTTTCGGTTTCGGTTCAGTTGGAAGGCGCCACTCCGAACCTTGTTGACTAGTTTGCATGTCAAACTCGTAAACCCACGTCTCGTCACCAGTAGCAATGCGTTTCATGAATGTTGGGTCGGAATTGACTCGTTCTAGCATGTCCTCAGCGACTCTCATGCCATTAAGGTTTTGGAGAAAATTCAGGTCTTTTGCGACTAGCCGAGCAGTAACATGTTTCATACCCAAATGAATAGTTAAAATGGTACGGATTGACTCGTGAGATACAGAAAGTTCGGCGGCTATCTCTCTCAATGTTGAATGAGGATTTTCAGTCACTATTTTCTTTACTTTTGCGATGTTAACTTCAGTTGCAGACGTTGATGGCCTACCAGAGCGAGGCAAATCTTCCATCACATCTCGACCGCTTTTGAACGCTTTGTACCATTCATAAGCACGTGTTTTTGATAAAGTCGATTCACCTAAAGCCTTCTGTAACATTTTCAGTGACTCCGAACACAAAATTCCATTGGCGATGCAAAATTTAAGACAAACTCTTTGTTCGATGTTGTCCATTATGAAATTCGCAATACACACTAGATATGATACGAGGGTGCGTTTTTAAGTTCGCGGAATGAGAGGGTTGGAGGGGGATGATTAGGCTCATTAGAATCGTCACGTGTTCAGTGACTCATAATTAGTATAAATACCAGGTTTCATTGTTATTAGACAATTAGTCTTTGAGTTATCGTCAACCAAGCAACATAATCGGGAGTAAAAAGTGAAACATGGAAAAAATCGAAAATCGTGCCGTTATAAAGTTTCTTACCAAGCAAGGAAAATCAGTTGCGACCATAATGAATGAGATGTCATTGGTTTACGGCGACTCTTGTCCAGGAAAAACCATGGTGTACAAATGGCACAGTTTATTTAAACAAGGAAGGGAATCCCTTGAAGACGAGCCGAGGCCGGGCAGGAGCATCGAGGTGATCACACCAGAACTTATCCAAATAGTCGAAAAAATTGTACTCGACGATGCTCGACTAAAGAAGAAACAACTTGCAGAAATGGTTGAAGTATCTGATACAACCATTTTTAGAATTCTGCACGATCATTTTGGCATGACAAAGGTCAGTGCAAGATGGGTGCCGAGAATGCTCACGCCGACGCAAAAACAACAGCGCGTAGAGTGTTCACGTGCATTTTTAGACCTTTGTAATGAAGACAAGAATGCTGTATTAAGTAGAATTGTTACTGGAGACGAAACTTGGGTTCATCATTATAAACCTGAGTCGAAACAAGACTCCATGCAGTGGCATAAAAAGGGCACAGCACCTCCCAAGAAGTTTAAGGTGTCACAGTCAGCTGGGAAACTCATGGCAACGGTCTTTTGGGACTCAGAAGGAATATTATTGATCGATTATAAAGATAAAGGTGTATCTATAACCGGAGAATACTACGCTTCAATATTAGAGCGACTCAAAGAAGCCATTAAAGAGAAGAGACGGGGAAAATTGACAAAAGGTGTGTTGCTTTTGCACGACTACGCGCCCGTCCACAAGAGCCGCGTTGCGTTGGCTGCCCTGTATAAGGTGGGTATTTTGAATCACCCACCCTACAGCCCAGACCTGGCCCCCAGCGATTATTACCTGTTTCCAAAAATGACTTTTTGCATGTTGAGCTGCGGGTTAAAAAAATTACCAACGTTGTTGAAGTCGATGAGGCATTTTCGGCTTATTTTGAAGACAAAGAGAAAACATTTTTTTATGAGGGTATAAACAAATTAATTGAAAGATCTGAAAAATGTATCCGTCTTGCAGGTGAATATATTGAAAAGGAAAAATAATTTGGTTTTTTTATTTCCACCCCTTATCCCCTATTCCGCGAACATAAAAACACTCCCTCGTATAACTAAAAACAGCACATAATTAATATATGTACATAACAGACGCAACTCAAACTCCGCGCCAAAATGGAAAACAGTTGTGCCAATCTAAAAACAAAAAAAAAAAAAAGATTTTGGAACAATAAACAAATCATCCATTCCCGATACTTTTTTGACTGAATGTATGATGAATAATATTATGCTCATTCCTTTCCGCTGAACTGACCAGAGGCAAAACATGTAATTATTTTCATCATTAAAAAATCATCAATATTTAAAGAATTTATACTGAAACAGTCTAATCAACAAATTAGTCAGCATGTATTTAAATAACGTCTAATTTTTTGTGACATTTTTAATTTTAGTCAGTCTTTGATGTTTAGAACGTACAACATAACATATAACAAATGACCAATTATGGACTAAATTAAGTAACTTAACGAATTAGCACCATAGCCTAAAATGTGTATTAAAAAATGGGTTTGCATCAAAAGGGCGGTGATATTTTTTTTTCTCAGGAAGAGTCGGTTTATACATCAGCCTAGTGTTTGCCGAGTACCGATTTTTTTTTTGTTGACGGGGTGGAAAATCCCTTCGGATCTCCTGCTCCTCGGGTACTCAGGAGCCAGCCAGCCAGGAGTATGTGATGATTCAACTAAAAACCACCCTGACGGCCGGCCTTAGGTGTCCTACTCTGGGGAGGACCCGGACCCATGTTATTTCAGGTCCTCAGCGAATTGACACCATGCCTAATCAGGCCCTATCCCAAGGAACAACCCCTCCCCCTTCATTCACGGCATGGCAGCCCGATCGCATCTTAATGCACTCGGGCCGGCCATTCCATCCCCTACCGCAGCAATCAATCTGCCACCAGAGGTCCCCACTCTCTGGCGGCCCGCGGCCCCGTCGACGGCTGATATCGGCGCCGACGTCCTCTACGTTTGGGATCGGCCCTCTCCCGATCCCGTTCAGCGGTCTCTTTCTGGAGCATTACAGCTTCACAGAATGAGACCACTGCGCCCCAAGCCTCTGCCGAGTACCGGTCTAGTTCTTCGAGTATTTCTCTGATTAGCAATACAGTTACAATATATTAACATACTATTATTCGAATCGATTTTACGAAATAATAATGCAAGTAAATAACTAACCTTCAATGTATATTATATTATATACATATTGCTCACATTGTAGGTTAGTTAAAAATTAGAGAATCACGAATTTGAACATTGAAATGACTGGTCATATTTGTGTGCGTGAAGGTAGGACGAGGTACGTGAAGGTCGGCCGGTGACTTCGGTTACAGACTCTAATGTGAAAACGGTGTCAATCACCGCACGACTATGTATTGAAACTGACAAAAAAATTACTTGCTAGCAAATTCGTGCTTTGTTAGGCATTTAAATGATAAGAAAAAAATTATATGTGCCTCTGAAGGTTCGGAGGCTTTGCTCTCGATGGTCACCGCAGGACTTAACGAAGGACCAGAAACGACTGCGTGTCCAGTGGTGCCGTAAAATGATATCTATCTTGTGTACTGTTACTAATATTAATATTAAATTTAAATTTCTGCCTACAATTTGGTAAACCAAATTGTAGGCAGAAATTTAAAGTGATTATAGTTAAAAACTAAATTAATGGATCAAGCTGTAAGACAAATATTATAGATCGTCATATTAAGGGCCACCCGCGGGCTGAAATAGAAATAAAAGGCATACATATACATACATAAATTACCGAAAACGAATGTAGGTATTCTACGTGCTTTGTAACTTTTGCTATATTTAAAATAAAAGTAAAATTATAGATACACACACACTAAAATTTAAAATTTTATTGGCCGTATGTTTATTCATGCTATTCACCTGCTGCCGCTCCTGCTGCGCAGAATTGATTGACATGTTACATATATAAATATGCGCATGGTAATACCATTGGTATTTCAGGTCATCATTTACGTCTGCACTTAATTTAATATCCATTTTATTACGCCGTAACTTAGCCGCTACTGCGGACGCGCATTTACATTAACGAATAGATACAGTAACAATTTTATAATGCTGAAGGCTGAAATCTTTCTCAAGGATAGTATATATAATAGTAATAACATTCAAAACATTAAGGTTTTAAATTACTTCAAGAACAATACATGATTTATAAAGCTTAATCAATATTTCTTGGCAGGTCCATAGCATCAGACAACAAAGGTTTCAAATTATTGGAGAAAATGGGCTGGAATAAGGGCGAGGGTCTCGGCAAGGATAACCAAGGAGATGTCGACCCAGTAAGTAGTCATATTAGTATTAGCAGTCATATTTAATTGGACATTGTTATTTACAATTCGCAAATTAATTATAGTCATAAAATTTCGTGAACGTATGAATTCTTTAACGCTTCTTTCGTTAATGCCCGCTTTCTCCTTCTCATCCATGCGAAGACTAAATTTAATAAATCGTCGTGTGTTACGGCAGGCGGCCTTAAAATTTAAAACATTAATCCTATTGCTAATGCTAAGTACCTATTCGGCTCGGAACAGTAAAGAGTGCTGCGCGATTGATGCCTATTTATGAGAGTGCAAAAGAATTTATTTTCTATTTTAGTGTTTTAGTCTGTTCTAGTTTTAATATCGTTCAATAATTTTGGCGCGAGTCTTTCTTGATGCATAAAACTTAAATTAAATATTTTATTTTGTTTAGTATGACTTAGATTTTTAGCGAATAATATTAGGATGATTAATTAGCATGCTAATTTGAAATTTTTGAAATTTTTATCATATCAAAAGGTGTTTGATATCCACAAAGAGACTACATTATAATAATAATCACACTTACGTTATTGTCCATTGTCTAAGACGTAAGACATCGAACATAATATGTATGTGCTAACTTAGGTATTTTCTTCGAATATACTAAGAGATATAAACCAAAAGCTGAATCGGCTTTTTTTCCCCTAGATGCATCATATCTCGTAATGAAATATCAAACTTGTGTGGGTTATAAAACCCACCCTGAATAAAACTTAAATCCTGCTGTTGTTGGTTTGCTTAAATTAATGATTATTACAGCAGAAGATTACAGCTAACCATAATTCACATGTTAAAACCATTAGAAGAAATATAATGATCAATTTTCTGATGTCGAGTAAAATTACAAAATGAATTATAACTCCATTTCGCTTTGACGTGACTAATTAGTTCAGACCAAATAATACTTTTAACCTTGCTTGCATCGTAAAATATAAAAATATTGCCAAGCGGGAGTCGTATTTGTAACTAAATAAAATATCTCATTGATAATTAATATGTCTGCCTACAAAATGTCTCTTTATTAGCGTTTTAACTTTAATAAGTATTTTTTCTTATTTTATCTCACATTTAAATGTGAGTATTGTAGTCGTAAATATTTAGAATGCGTTTTTGTGAATAAGGCTTGAAGTTTTATGAGGAAAATAAAATTTTGTATAAAATGTGATTTGTGTTAAGATAACTTACATTTATTTGACAGGTTGAATTTTGTCCGAAAACCGAAATTAGTTATAAAAACTTTGTTTTCATTTTTTTTGTCGTTTTAATAGTAGTCATTTTTTTGTTTATTTTTGTATCTGTAGCTAAACCTGCTTTAGCTGATATGATAATTATGACAAAATATTATTCAGTAGCTCGACTAAAAAGTAATGAACAAGGCTTTTTGGATATACTTGTTCGTTACAGTGGACACGACTAGGGAAGTACCCTTGACATAAAAGGCCTCAATAACTATTAACTTTTTGGAACCTCTGAAAAAGGCCGAGAAGCGATGACATTCCAGAGGTCAGGTTTTGGTTGAAAAAGTAGTTCAAAGTTCGCCTTTGTTTATAAAAATACTAAAGAAAAAGCTTCGTACAGCTTATAACTAACAACTGCTGTTCAACAGTAATGTACGTATGTGCTCACACATTGTGTTTAAAATCTAACAGCATAACACATTTAAATGCATTTTTTTGCAATACCTAAGGTTTCAAAGTAACACATGCGGTACTCTAAAACATGATATGTTTTTGTTCGTTTTGGGCAATAACTCGGTGTCTGTAGGTCAGGCGGGCGCGAGTCTACCTGTCCATTTAAAACAATTTGCGCACTGGTTTATTTTCCGTTGCGGCATTAGACGCGGCCGAATGATGCCCTGCCATTATGGCGAAGGGCCCAGACGGTGACGTTTATGTCTTATATAACATGTTTATGTTGACGGATATACTATAAAGTTTTGTAATATTGATATAAAAGGTTTTAAGCCGTACTTCACGTTGACATCATACTATTAAATACATTGTTAATGTGTAATTAGTCGACGGTCTCATCATAAAGTATTCTATCGACTTCACGGTCGAATAGTGGTTTAAGCGGTCACTTCGCCACTTCCTACTACGCTGAGTATTGTGGATTCGTGGTACAAAACTGTGTAATCTACAAATTATTGTTCCAAGTCTGGGTGTTCTGTGTGTCTGTTTCATAAATATTTGTAAAGTCCTCCTCTACACAGGATATATTTCTAATGCGGTTCTAGTTGACTTCTTAGAAATATAAAACTATTAACTTATTAGTTATGACTGACCAACTGACCATGCTGAACAGCTGAACCATACCTAATTAGAAAAGTAATTAAATGTAGTAATTCGACTATTTCCGGCTTATGTCTACGCTAAACTCATATTTTCAAGGTAAGCTGTGTAAGGTAGGCTGTGGAAAGTACAGACGATCAGGCAGGATTATCTTAACATCGTTCTATTGCTCACTCTCTACATCTGGCATTGCTTTTATAGGCTTACATGGCCAAATCTGGTCTGAAATTACACGTTTATAGCTACAAGATTTATTCTGAAACCTAAAAATTTTGTTATCGAATTAAGTTGATTTAGAATTTTTGAACTCCTTCAATTTATTGCTTACTAGCGTTTGCTTGTATGTCGGTTATTGCTGTTAAAACTTGTCTATAGAACTCAGGGGTAATAAACTTTTCTAACAGTATAAGAATTTTCAGAATCGAATCAGTAGTACCGGAGATTACCCCGAACATACGAACTCACAGACTTTATCTCTTTATAATATTTGTATAGATAATCATTTCTGTGAACAAGACAGTTCAAGAGTTTAGTCAAAAAGTGTTTTCTTATCAGTCCGATGTATCCTGAGGACCTAGTATGAGTTTATTTCACATCTACCCAATCGTCACGGTGATCAGGTTCGGCGTTGCGATAGGCTCGCACTGAAATCTTCACCAATCGCAACACCAAACGCGTTCGCCGTCAAGAGCGAGTTGATGTAAAATAAACTAGAAGTTTGAGGGGCGGGCATAATTATAAGATTATTTTCACATTTTTTTTAAATTGATTATTAAAATATATATTTAAATATATATTTTTTTATTTTTATTTATTTATTTTATTTATTTTTCTGGCCAGCGTGGTATAGTAGGCCAAAACCTCCTTTCTCAGGAGAGGCTTATGTCCAGCAGTGGACTATTAAAGGTTGTTGATGATGATATTTAAATCATTCAGTATCACTAAAATTTCTGCCACCAATATGCCAAAAATCTGTCTTCAAAGTAAATTAAATATTCATCACACTTTTCAAAATTTTAATCACAGTTTAGTATTGATTGGAACTGCCAAGATAAAAAAAAATGAATCTTGCAGCTTCCTCCCTCTGTGTGATCTATGTACCTCCTCCTTGCTCTCCTTATATTCTACTTCTCTATCTATTTCATCAGATTATGGATTTTAATACAATAACAACAAAAATACTCGGTGCCGGTTGAGCGGCGCGGCGATCATTGTAGCTGACTGCCGAGACAGCAATTAATTACTTTCAAAATTGAATATTAATTACTTTATATTTCTTGAATACGACTTGAATTTCCTTTAACCTTTGGAAAATATGATTCAACGCTTCGTTGGATATGACTTGCACTTTTGATTACTTTCAAAAAGGTTCCTTGTAGTTTTGAATAATTTTTCGTATCCTGATTCACTTAATACGCATGACATGATTTCAAAATTTGTGCGAAATAATTTTATTCTGAGTGAATATACAAACAGGCTGTGTAATTTGCCACTAATTAATATCTTATTAAAGTAAGCAGACGCGGACGGTCCACTGAGTACCCTTGGTCTGAGTCATTATTTTACAAAATACTTATAACTTGGCAGCGGAGGCGAATACCATCAATCATGCACACGAGGGCCTCGCTTAATGCGACCCATTGCATTCATCGACAATCTTAATACAAACTTTAAATATGTTTGTATTTTCTTGCTTTTATGAGTCGTAAAAGTTTCTTTTACTGTAACTTTGTCCGCCTTATATGAGCTTAGTTTTAATTTTTTCAATTATCAACGTGTAAAGTTTTCGGGTACCTTAACTCATCAAAGGTGACTCTTCGTATTTCTATCGTATTATTGTCTGAATAAATAAATGGATTTTTATTACTCAAACAATGCACATCTATGTTTATTTATTGCTCGACTATGAATTTTGTAAATAATTAAACGGACTCGAGCAAGGTCCATCTTCAGTTATTACATGGGTACACATATTTGTTTTTATTCACGTTTTTAGATTGAAGTAAATTGTCTTGTTAAGTATATATTTTACCGTGGCCATGCCTCGGTACGAATCGACCGGTTCGTACGATACCACGACCAGAAAACCAGTGTTAAGCAATTCTCTCGATGCTTTTACCTAGTGAGTGAGGTTTTTGGAGGCCCAACCTCCCCGCCGGAGGGGGGGGGGGGGGCATGAAATAAACCCAATATTAACCCGTCCGGCCAGCGTGTGCGTTTCGTCTTCAAAGTCAGCTTAAAAGTGAACATTTGCGTTCTATCATATATTACAGCTAAATGTGGTTTATCTAAAGGATAGAACCTAGAACGTTTAAAATTTAGGAGCTTTAGGAGCTTAGAACGTTTAAAATCAGCTTTTGGTGAGCCTGTTCCTTTTCTAGCAACCATTTGTAGATTGTTTAAAACTAGCCTTGAAGATGATAGCAGAAGTTGATCCATTCCAACAGCAGAAAATGTGTAGATTACTGAAATGCTTGATGACATAAAGAAAATCTTAGACATCAGTTCGGTTAGTGTTCACACAATAATACATGAACATCTTAGAATGAGGAAGCTTTGGTGTCGTTAGATCTTCGTTTGCTCTGCTTCGAAACGGATAAAGAAGCCTGTGTGGAATGGTGCCGTTAGATACGTCTACGTTTTGAAAATGGGAGGTCAAGACGTGTTTCTGAAATCATTGCTGGCGAC